GCGGGGCCGGGGGGGGGGGCGCCCGCGGCGGGGCGGCAGTGAGCTGTCAGAGGCCCAAGGCGCCAGACGAGCGGAGGGGAGGGGGTTGAGTTCCGCGGGAACGCTGAGGTGGGCGCTGAGGCGGGGGAATGCGGAGGCGCTTTCGTGTGGGCGAGCATATACGCGTGCGTGTACACGCACACACATGCACACCCACACACGTTCACACACACACACGCACACACACACACACACACACACACACACACACACACACACACACACACACATTCACACACATACACGCACACACACCTGCACCCATACACCAGGAGAATGCGGCCAACCACTGGAATCCTGCAGTCCACGGCCTCACACTCAACGTCCGGAAGATGTTCCAGGTGAGAACTTCCCCACGGTCTGCCCCCCGCACTCCCTCACCTCACACCCATTCACACACAAAGCCGACGCCCACCACCACCCGCCGCTGCCGCTGCCGCTGCTGCTGCCGGCGGCGGCAGCCCAATTCTTAGCTGTGTTGCAACGCCATTTCCGGCAACCAGGGGGGCGCGCGCGCGCTTGCGCACGCGGGCTCTTGCTCGTTGCGTCTCAGCTTTGCGCTAGGGCTGCGTCTTGTTGGGGTCTGTTTGATCTGGGGGCCCCGGCCCCGGTTGGGGATGCAGCCAGCAGCCGCGGCCGCGGTACCTGAGGGGCCGCGGTGGCCGCGCTTCGCACAACGTGCCACAGACACCGTGCGCAGGTGCATGTGTGCGCACACGCACACACATACACACACACACACACACCACGCCGGCCCAAACAACTACACGAACATGCACACACAAAACACACATACAACACGCATGCACACAGATGCTCACGCGTGCACTCAGCACACAGTAGTGCTCCCCCACCATACACCACACACACACACACACACACACACACACATTCACACACATTCACACACACACACACGCATCTGCACGCGCACTCACACACGCGCGCAACCCCCAGGAGCTGGACGACCAGCTCTTTGAGGAGTGCCGGCAGCACTGGGAGGACGAGCAGCAGCAGCAGCGCGCGCGCGACGACGCGCGCCAGCGGCAGTGGGGCGACGTGGCGCGGGAAGCGACGAAGGCCGCCGCAGCCCGCGGCATGCCCAACGGGGCGGTCGGCAGCGGCAGCGAAACATATACCCCGCTGTTGGTGCGGCGATGAGGGCGCCGGCGGGTACAGGCGCGGCCGCGTGGGGGCGCTTGCGACACCAGAGCGCCAGGCGTGGCTGCGGGCCCGCCGAGTGCGCCCTGCGCAGCCCCTGGCCCCGACCGGAGCGCGACTGCGGCGCAGGCCGAGTCGGCGGCGGCGGCGGCTTGAGCCCTGGTGGCGGCGCTGGTTTCGGCGGGGGGCGCGCTTTTTTGGCCAACCCCTCCGCGCCCTGATTCCCAGCGCGCGAGCGCCACGCGCCAAGGGGATCTTTGTGGCGGCGGCCCGCGCCCCGGACCAACAGCAGCCCCACGGCCCCACTCTCGCCCTGCTGCGGGCGGCTGGCCCCAATCGCATGCCTGAGTTTCGTTGCTGATATAGCGCGTTGGTTCCCGGCTAGAAATTTGTTTATGTGTGATTCTACCGCACCCCGCCCTGCTGCCGTCGGCTCTGGCGCGCGTCGCCGCAAGAGCCAGGCGCGGCCAGTGGCTCAGGGGTTGTCTCCGTTCGCAGTCTTCATGCGCCCGCCCCTGCTTGCCTCGACACCCTCGCTCGGCCGCAGCCGCCGGAAACCCTCAGCCTCCGGCGCGCCGAGCGCGGGCGGGCGGGCGGCGGCGGGGAGCGTCGCGCCGCGCCCCATTCGCCATTGCCTCCGTCGCAGCGGCGGCCGAATATTGATGGTGAATAGGCATGGCGGGGCGCATTAGGTTCCGGTTTTCATCCTCGTTCCGACCCTGATTTCTTGGTCTTCCACCCCATCACCTTCCCAGCTCTCGTCTCTCTTGCCGCGGGCGGCCGTTCGAATGTGCGGGCTCGCGTGCGCGAGCGCGCGGCCCCGCTTAATCCCTGCGCCTCCCGCGTCTGCCCGCCCGCCCGCCCACCCTCAAACCCATGCGGCTGTCGGCTGGCACGTGCGGGCCGCTGCGCGCGGGCCGGCCGTCCCTTCTGTCGGGGCTCTTGGTCCCGGCCCGCCTGTAACAGGCAGCCGGGCGCTCACCCCCGCGTGGCGCCGGTGCACGGTGCAAAGTGGACGCTCGCGAGAAGACAGGCTCAGAGGCGCGTCGCAGTGCTGCAGGCTGACGCACGCAGCGCCAAACGCACAGGTCCCGCACCCCACAGCGCGCGCGCCTCGGCCAGCGCGTCAGGGAGCTGAGGCACCACAGCGCCGGTTGGGGTCGACAGAGGTTTGGCCGGTCGTGCCCTTGAGTCTTGGACTGGCTGAGAAGCACAGGGGCCGCGGCTCCTGCGACCTGTGCTGCGCAGGCAGTCTATTTCTCATCGAGGGAGGAACTACATGTGCTCCTAAATACGATCGCGGCCCGAAACACACCACTCACCGGGTTGCCCGGGGGTCGGTGTCGGGTTCGTCGACGAAACCACGCAGTGGGGTTTGCTCGACGGTGTGATGGCGATGGGAATCCGCGTAGGCACTCTGTTGCTCATGGCAGCGTGCTCCCTTGCCACCGCGCCGCCGCCGCTGCCTGGGGGGCGCAACTCCCGCCCGGGCCCGCTCGCGCCGGCAGCGCGCACGCGCCCGCATACGCCGCCCGGCCCAAGGCCAGCGGAGCCCCTCCAGCCCCGCGCCGGCGCCAGGCGCCTGGCGCAGGAGACAACGCTGGGCATCGCGTTCAAGGGCGCGCCGCAGGGCGTGGCGCGCCAGAAGAACGTGGCAGACCTGGGGGCGGCTGCCCTCCAAGGGACCATTCAACGTGAGAATGCACACAAAGCGCTGAGGGGCCCGCACGCCGCGCCTTGCACGCTTTGTCAAATCTGCATGCTCGATCCTTGCGGTGGCCGGGGCCCCTGCTGCAGCTTCTGCTGGCACCTGGCCGCCCAGCGCTTGTTTGGCCAGTGGTTGCACGTAGGCGGGGGGGGGCCGAGGGGGAGGGTCCAGCTGCCCGTTCGGCGGCCCCCATGTTTACCTTGGGGGTGTCCCCAGGGATTTCATTCAGGAAATTTGTTCAAGGGTGCCGCCACGCATGCACCCAATATGCTTGGCCGGCCGCGCCGCATGCGTTGCAACGCGGCCCCGCCAACGCCCCCGCCCTCCCGCGCCCGCACGGCCTTGCCGCGCACGCGCCGCAGCCCAGGACGGCGTGACGTCTCTGACGCTCACAGATTTTGCAAACGCGCGCACCTTCTTCCCCGGGCTGCTCCTGCTTGAAACCACCTTTGGCGCCAACGATCGGTATGGCGGCGTCACCAAGTCATCGTCGGACCTCAGGTATGACGTCACCGTGATGTCACCGCGCCTGATGGGGAAGGGAGTTGCAGGAGTCCGCGCGTCCCAAAGCTGCCAGCGCCCTCACCATTTGCATGTTCGTGGGACCGCGGGCGCGTCGCGGCGCCGCGCCGCGTGCCATCAGGCGCCGCCCCCCAGGCTGTTGCGCAAGCCCCGCAGTCATGGGGTTGCCCCGCCGCATTGCACAGCTTGACAAATGTGTACTGCACTCCACTCAGCAGCAGCATCCGCAGCTCCTCAGGTGCCTGCAGTTGAGCAGCGGTGCATTACCGATTCGCCCGCGGCCCTGCGCACGCCTTTTCAGCACCCGCCCACATTCGTGCGTCGGCGCCAACGTACTACGAATTGTATCGAAGTAGTACAGTACTTCGATTACCAAAGCCTGCAGCTGGACGCTGCCAAAGTGAGGAAGCGCTCGACCTTCGCGCTTCCACGTGGCGGCGCGCGAGCACGGCCGCGCCCCCCCCCCCTCCCGCCCGCACGCATCCAGGTCCCGTACAGACCAGTCCGGCGGGTCCACCCAGTCCACCGTGGACAGCCGCAGCATCTCGCAGCCCGGCCTGGGCCGCACCTCCGCCGCCGCGGGCCTGGGGGCGGCGACCCTGAGCCAGAAGCTTCTGGACCCGGGGCAGCGGCCGGCCAACAACTCGGCCGCGCCCGGGCCCGTCAACGGTGCGCGCGAGCCCGCAGGCGTCCCCGCCGGCATGCCGCCTCCTGCCGCGGCGCGTGTACTCCCCAGCCAGTCGCGCTCTGCTGCCACACGCAGCGTGCAGGGCAGGCGGCAACTGGCGTCTGTGCCGCGTGGCCTCGAACGCGCTGAACTGCTTGCCTCGTCCCTACCAGCGCTTGCTCTGCGGCGCAGCTCACACAGACGCATGCTTGCTTGGCCTCTTGCACTGCGCAAGCCCCAACTGCCTATCATCGGGTCACTTCGCTCGACTGTTCGGCATGCCCCATTATAATGCTCATGCGTTCATGTAATTGGCGCGTGCGTCCCTCTCCCCCCCTCCAAACAGCGGTGGTTCTGGCTTCGCAGCTGGCAACAGGGGTGGCCGGCGACTACAGCTTAGTCACTCCTGACTACCAGGACACGGGCACCCGTGACTACGATTATGTGAGCGCAGCAAAAATTGGAGATCGATGATTCTCTCTGGATGCAACCAAACAGCAGCGGGGTGGTCGCCTCTGACTGCGTGCTGGTGTCAAGATCGCCTGGCATCCATTGCCTTGGCGCCCGTGCCGGTGCCCGCACGTGCAATGCATGTGGAATCGGGTACAGCTTAGAAGGATGTCTTGCACAGAAATGCAGCCCTACAAGGATCGGCCGGGTCCCCACCGGGCATGCACGTGCACTTACTACCAGATCCAGCCTCACAGACTGCACCCGCCTGCCTGTCGGCCCCTTGGTTCTCGTCCACCAGCCCCGCCATTGCCAGAGCAACTAACCCCTTCCCACCCCACTCCCCCCATCAGGGCCAAGACCGGCCGATCCCCTCCACGGCCATGGTGGACGCGCGCACAGGCACCGACGTCAAGGATGCTGACGGCACGCATAGGTGAGACCCCGTACGTCAGTCCTGGGGCTTGGGGACGCCGTCATTGGCGGCACGTTGCTCCTTTCTGGCACAGGCAGTGGTGGCACGCGCGGACGCGCTGCGGCTGCTGATCCTGCTCATCATTCCCAGTGAAATTTTGATAAAACCATGTTTGACAACCCATGCGCCTGTGGGAGGCGAGCCCGCACCCACGCTTGTTATTGTATTGCTGACAGGCAGCGAAAGGCGCATTGCTTGCGCGCACGCACGCACGAGCGCACACAGGCACGCAAACAAGCCCGCACTCCCTCCTACAGGGCAGCTTCTTTTGGCAAGACCAAGGCAGAGGCCACCGCCCCAGCCGCCGCCACGCGCACCAACAACATTGCATCGAATTACTTGGTGGGCTGAGTGGCTGTGCAGCGGTCCTCGGCCCCTACCAAGGGGTGCACGGGGGGCACTTCAGCGGGAGGCCGGAGCAGCAGAGGAAGGGAAGCACACACTGGATTCCACCCGTTGCTGATGCAAAAAAAAACCCTGCTTTTGCTGGGAGCATGCTCCGGCTTTTCATGTGTTGTGAGTCCTTGCTGACAGCCGCAAATCTGCGGGTCGGAAGCCGTGTACTGACCGCTGTAGTTGTAAGCACGCATCGTAACGGCGCGCCGCCGCCTCCCCTCGACGATACGCCTCACCCCGGGCCGGATGGGTCCCACTGGCGGGGCGCGCCATCCACGCTGACGCTCGAAACGAGCATGCGTGACCACACACCAATGCGCGCATGCAGGGGCAATCCTTCTCCGTAAACTATAACGACAGCATCGGACAGGAGACGCGCACCGATTTCTACAGTGAGCCCGCGCGCCCGCCCAACCTCCCGGTGACTTGCCGACACCGCGCCCAGCCCGCGCTGCCGGGCCGCGCTCACCACCCGAACGCCTGGCCGCGTTGTGGCCGCTGCAGGCACCGGCGTCCCGAGCCTGTCTGGCAGCCTCAAACGGCCGCCCACACGCTAACCAGCCGGGCTGCCCCGAGCCATCCGCGCCCTCTCTCACCGCTCATCCAGCCCCCTGCCCGCCCCTTCCCTCAAACCCACCCCATGCGCTTCCTTGCCGCCCCCCTCCGCCCCTCCACCCGGACCGGCCCGCCCACGGCGCTGCCCCGCCCTCCAGACCCTGTGCGCCTCGGCGGCGCCCAGGCGGCCGGCATCAACGTCGGCCGCAACTACAAATTCACTCAGCCCTCCTCGTCCATCACCCAGACGACCGCGTCCGGCGCTGCGGCGGGCCTGCCGGCCAGCGCGTCGGGGGACGTGCTCGGGTACGCGTCGGGGCGGCGGAGCGCGACCAGCCGGGGCCAGGCCGTGAGGTGGGCGCGCCCGCACTCACGCATGCACTCGCCATCCAACCTTCGCCCCTTGGGGGCAAAACAGTCTGTATAAAGCGTCAGCACCGCGCATCGCTTTTCTTCCGGACTTCTATCTCTCTGGTCCAGCTCGCATGCGCCAGCCGCGAATGTACACCAAACGGCCCAGCGACGGAGGGCAGCCCGCGGCATCGTTGCGGCATCAAACCCTGGATAGATATCTGCAGCACGAGCGCCTGCCTGTCCCCAATAGTTGCGCCCTGGGTTCCGGCCGTGGGGCTGGCCAGCTGGCCCAACCAGACTGTTTCAGCGCTGCGTGCCTGCAGCCTGGGTGCCTTGCGCCCCGCCTGGCACGAGGTTCACGCATCCTCCCCTCCGTGGGTTCAATCTGCAACCTGTGCGCCCTGCGTGATGACTCAGCATCACCAGCGCAGAGAATCTGGACGACGACATCGGCAGGCGGCGACGGCGGCGGCTGCGGCGGCAGCTGCGCCGTCGGCGGCGCCGGAAGCTGAGGAGGTCGTAGCAAGCATGCATGTGTGCCTGGCCTGGCGTCTGCTGCCCTGGCCCCTTGAAGTAGTGCAACATGCGCGGTCGCTTCACCACCTTCATGCACACTGCAAGCCCACGGCTGTGCTTCAAGAGCGATTGATCAGCACAGCCTTAAAGATTGGGGACGAGACGGGTGATGGCGCCGCAGTGACGTAACGAATAAAGCCGGGCGCACAGGCGACCACACCGTCAGAGCAGAATAGAAAAATCAGGCGCGGCCGCGGCTCCGCCACGGCGTGCGGCCAACGCCCGCGTCTGGCAAGCGCCGGCGTAGAATCAGCTGGCAGACACTGGAAACGAGGGTGAGGTGCGTGGCGATTAAAGCTCACGGTCAGATCGCTGGGTTGTGTGGCGCCGGAATGCGCTTGCCACACGCCAGCAGAGGCAATTGTCGTCGTGTCGCGAGCAAGCAAGCGGAGGGTCTGCAGCGGGGGTCCACCGCACATGTTGACGGCTTAGGCGCCACGTGGATCCTGAGTTCGTCACCAAACTGCCGTCAGAACAAAGATCCTCAAATGCTTGCACCGCCTGCCATGCAATTGGGGCGCCTACAGCTCCACGCCAATGTGCACCAGCAGCGCCCGCCGCCGCGTGTCGTCGTCGCCCGCGCCGGGCCCAGCCGCCAGGCCGTACGCGCGCAGCACTGCGTCGATGGCTTCGACCGGCGCTGCGCGCACGTTGTCGGGTGTGGCCGGGAGCGGCGCGCCCGCGAGCGCCGCGTCGATGGGGGCGCCATTGTGGGGGGGCCAAAAAATGGTGCTGTCGCCGAAGCGGCACGCGACCAAGTTGCGTACGTAGGCGCGCTGCGACAGCAGACCGGCCTGCAGTATGCTACGAATGTCGTCCTTGAAGCTTCCCAGCTCGCCCCGCATCTCCTCCTTGAAGCTCCCCAGCTCCTCCTTGAAGCTCCGCATCTCGTCCTTGAAGCTCCGCATATCGTCCTTGAAGCTCCGCATATCGTCCTTGAAGCTCCACATCTCGTCCTTGAAGCTCCCCAACTCATTGCGCATCTCCGTCTTAAAGCTCCCCAGCTCCTCCTTTCAGTCCCTCATCATTTCAATCACGTTGTTAATGTTGACCTGCAGCAGAGGGAGCTGTGCCGCTGCATGCGCGTGGGCGGCAGCTGCGGATGCTGCTGCGTCTGCGGACACATGCGCCTCGCCACGCTCTGTCATCGCTGTTTTTAATTTTGCGCTCGGAAACCTATATAAGGCGTCGTCTGCCTGTTGCTGTGGATGCACAACCTCTGCAGAGGGCGTGGCAGCTACGTGCGTGGGAGTTCGAACCGTGGTTTGACGTGCTTACGTAGTCACGTCGGAGCTTAGGCGACGTGCACGTAAAATTATGCGCGCAGGGCAGTACAAGAGCTTCAGGTCAAACCTTTTGCACGCTGGGCAGCTGCGTGGCCATCATCCACCCGCCGAGCCGTGACATATGTGACAGGTTGCATCACACCTTTTGTTTTGGGTTAAAATTTGCAGCTAGACCGAAATAACATAGCCAGGTCCGCAATCAGCACTTTGCGCTCACCAGATCGCAGCGCTCGATGGCACCCGGGCCCTGGCATCAGTGAGTCTAGCAGCAGCTCTCTGTGATGGGAGGCCCGCATGGGCACTGAACAGAGGCTGCCGCGGCGGGTGATGCTGTTACTGTCCATAGCCATGATTTTTGCAGCTGCGGAGCCATACCGCAGGCACGGCGGACGCTGGGCAACCGGCACCCAGAGGTTGGCGGGCGCTGACCACTTGGGTGGCTTCACATTGCAAATCGCCCTCTGAGCAGCTGTTCGCAGGCATGCGTGCGAGCCGGAGAGAGGGCACGCCTGCAGCGGGGGCGAGAGGGCACGGGAAGCTGCTGCCCCGGAGCGCGCAGATGCGCCGCTGCATGGGGGCACCGCTGGAAGCGCTTACAGTACCCCACGTGAGTCTGTCGGTCTGGCCCACCATGCTGGGTGCGGCTCAAGTGTTGAGCAGGGCGGATTCAGGGAAGGGCTGGGGGTTTGCACCCTGTGAGCGGGCTGCGGCGGCTGGGGAGTGAGCCCCTCAATACAGTGGTCACAGCATGGTGGCTATCGTACGGATATGCTTGGTAAAATATGGGGCAAGAGGTGCAGAAAGATCAGGCACTTCCCATCCCCGTTTTTTTAAACGGCGAAACAGCTCCTGCGTTTGTCAACACCACAGCAGATGCTGGCCAGGCATCAAGATCTTACAATGCATTCTGTATCAATCGCATTTGACATGCCGCCGCAGACCCCGCAGTTTACCAATTTCGTGAAAGCATATGTGCAAGGGCCGAGCCAGCGGCCCCGCATGTAGGCGGGGGTGGGGTGTGATTGACTAGTCGGCCGGCTCAACCTGACTGTGTGTGATGGGGCTCAAGACACTTGAGCTGGAAAGCATGCATGCAACCTGCGGATGACATGCCCATGCACGTGCCGTACCGCAGAGGACGGCAGCGTCCCCTCGGCCCGCCGCCCCAGCTGCTTCGCGATTGGTGGTACAGTCATCAACACGCGGGGGAATGCAGGCTCAAACACGCACAGTTTGATGTTTGCCAGGGGCAAGTTTGGCGTATGGCGGCAGGGAGCCGTGGCGACGCAGGGGCTGCCAGCATCACCCCAACCACAAAGCTGGCAAACAACAACAGCCCCGCTGCGCAATCCCAGCGCACGTGCTGCCAAAAACAATAACAAGTGCATGCGTGATGCCACCATCCCGTTTCGTCCCCTGGGCCGCACGCACGATTAAGCTAGCCGTCACCCTGAGAATGATGCCAAGGCCGAGACCCACACTCTGCCCAGCAGCGCTACACACTTGAAGGGGCCCAGCCGAGATTTATGAAGGCGCGAATCACGCACACCGGACCCTTGTTCACGCCTTGCAAAGATCGCATCGGACTGGAGCCAGTCGAGGTTTCGCCCCGCCAGATCTCAGATCTCAGATGTCCGCACCGTCCTCGTCCTCAAGCAGCTGCCCGCTGTCGTACAGGCGGCGCGACTCCGGGTCCCTCAGGACCTCATACGCCCTCAGCACGCGCTTAAACTCATCCTCTGCCTGAGGTCAGGGTTTGGTCACGCATTGCAGGGCAGGGGTTTGGTCATAGGTCGCAGGGCAGAGGGTCGGCTGGGGCACGAGCAGGTCGCGCCGAGCGTCGGGCGCGCAAGACGCTGCACGGGTGCACACAACGAATCGCCACCAGCCCCTGCATCTGGGATCTTGCAGACGCCGGCCAGCATGCGTGGCTGCTCAAACGTTCCAGACTGGTGAGCTGCCGCCCACATAGCACACCCTGCAACGCATCCCAGGCCCGCACCTGCCGCTGCGCGGCCGGGCCCTTGCCAGCCTGCCGGTCGGGGTGCAGCTGCATCACAAGCTTGCGGTATGCCGACCTGATGTCATCGTCATCAGGCGGTACGGAGGATGACGTCACCCGCAGCCCGAGGGCGGCGTAGTGCCCAGAGGGGTCGGGCGACGGCGGCGGCGGCGCCGCGGTGGCGGCCGCGGCGCGGCCGGCCGCACGCGGAGAGGCGCCTGCTAGAAGCAAAGGGCGGCACGGCGGCGGATGGCCGGTGGCGCTTAGCGGTTGGCGAAATTGCCTGCAATCGAGCGTTCTGCTGTCGCTGCTCTCCCTGCTGCCACTGCATGAGGTCCGATCGCGGCAACCCTGAGAATCTGCACAAATGATGGCGGACGACAGCGCTGACGTCAGTGAGCGCCCCCCACCCCCCAACCCCTCTTGCAGCCCC